TGAAAATTCCTCCCCATTCTCTCAAATTACCTTCACTCCTCAACCTGTCTCATCCTTTAATTTGATTCGCTCACCATCCTCTTCGACATACCCCCGAGATTCCCGACGATCTTTAGTTTGACGAAAGTATGCCAGAAAAACAATTCACGACTCTAACATACGCCGCGGGCGCTTCTCTTGCTGCAATTACACTTGTCTATGTATTTGCGCCGACCTTCCTGATGGACGAACAGAACTCATCATCCAACACGAGGAAGAAAGGAGTGGTAGGCTTGATCAATAGTGCCAATGATTGTTTTATAAACTCAGTACTCCAGGCCCTCGCAGGCCTAGGCGACCTACGCATATATCTCATTAGGGAGACACATAGGAGGTCTTTGGATAACTCGGAGGTATATAGTCAGATTGTGGAAGACCCGGCGCGGCAGGGCCTGCCAGCATGGAAGGTAGAAGGTCTACAAAAGGGCTTAGTCACCACGGGTCTGAAAGAGATCTTGGATGCATTGAACGAAAGACCCCTGTATAAAAAGACCATATCTGCTGCACCATTTGTATCTGCGCTAGAAGCTGCCTTTAAGCAGAGGATTAGCCGGCAACAACAGGACGCGCAAGAGTTTCTCCAAGTAGTCGCCGAAAGGTTAAGCGATGAGTACCATGCAGGTCACAGGGCAAGGAACCACGCAAGGAAGTTAGGGGCTACCACTGCTGCATCCGCAGAGTTACACACTTTAGATGAAAGAGTTGTGAACGAAAAGTTGGCCCAGCTTAGTCTGGGTAATAGCGCGACATCTGGCACAGATTCTTCTGCGGCGAAAGCGCCATCTGCTTCTTCTCATGACTCAGAAAAGGCAAGCTCAACATCCTCTAGGTCGCCCCAACAAGGTGGAGAACCTAGTAACGACTTTGATAACGAGGATGGGTTCCCATTTGAAGGTGGTTCTGAATCACAAATCGAATGCTTAACCTGTGGTTTTAAACCAAAGCCTACTCAGACAACCTTCTGTTCTTTGACGTTATCAGTTCCTCAGGTTACATCTACCACTTTAAATGCATGCTTTGACGGAATGTTTAAAACAGAATATATTGAGGACTTTAAGTGCGAGAAGTGTAGATTAGTACATGCCCTGGAAACCTTTGAACAAGAATATTCTTGCTCGAATTCAGAGAAATTCAAGGAAAAGACCCAAAAGTCGATAGACAAGCTGAAGGCTGCTATAGAAACAAATCCCGAAGAGGAGCTTCTCGATGTTGAACTGCCAGATTCGAAATTCGCGCCCAAGCGAAAAATCGCTAAACATGTCCGTATTACCAAATTTCCAAAGGTTATGGCAATTCATCTCTCAAGGTCAATTTTTGAGTCTAGGACAACCATGAAGAATTCCGCGAAGGTAGCATTTCCTGAACAATTACCCCTTGGAGGCTTATTGGAACGACGGAAGTACAAGCTTCTTAGTCTAGTATGCCACAAGGGAAGTCACCATAGTGGACACTATGAATCTTTCCGGAGGCAAAACCTTGTTGCTCCATTTTCAACCCCAAATACCTTTCAGCCATCAGTCGCGTATGCCAAATCTTTAACTTCTAGCCCTTCAGTACTTTCGACACCTCGAACAAATGCTATTCCAGGGGATGATGGTGATAATACCACACTCTCATCGACCCCTGAATTATTATCCCCAACGACAGCATCTACCACATCTCTGCCAGTCATCAATGGGCGCAACTCGGTAGACTCTTCACTGAATAACAAACGCCTCTCTAGCATAAATCCAACGTCGGCTAGTTCTGTTGCATCGTCGTCCAAAACTGCAGGTCCTACATCCGCCCCGCGTGACTCTGACACCGGCAGCATCCGGTCCCTAGGACGTTCGGCTCGGAAAACTCTATCGAAAGTATCCAGTACAATCAGTCGATCGTCTCCCACTTCATCATCCCCAAAGTCATATCCATCCAACCAAGAGAGGAGCCGGACGTTTGGAACGGAAACAGTTCGTGCTAAGCGAAAGAAGAAGGCAGTTGAAAGGTGGTGGAGAATTAGCGACGAAAAGATAAAAGAGAGTAAGACTAGTGAAGTTCTGGACATGCAGAAAGAGGTTTATATGTTGTTTTACGAGCTGGAGAGGGGAGAGGAAGATTCATAAAAGCATTTTCGGCATCGTTTGCATGGAAATTAGGGTTTGTTTGTACTTTGTATATTGAATTTTTGAACTTGTACATGATACCGGGGGTTGGTTTGAATTGATAGACGGACATCAATCTAGAGAGAGGATATTGAAAGGGACGGGGAAGTCTCATACACCCTAGGTTAATCTGATGGTTCAAATAATAACATTTGACATTATTATGGATGACTACTAGATATATATATAAGTATCATCGAGGAAAAGTGGTGACCGTATATAACTCGCCCACAGTAGAGATGGATGTGAGATCTTACTGGAGCAGAAATAAAAGCCGAACATCAAAACTCGGATTCACCAGCCGTGAATTTATCAAAAACTACTCTCGACTGATCAAATAATAATTATTTACTCAGAATCAAATCAATTGCTTATACCACTCGAGTGAATAATATACTAGGGCTCTAGACTAAAGTATTAATATACAAACAGAAATACAACCACGGATTACAAGGAATACCAGAGCAAAGCCCGCTCGCCCCTCAAAAACTAAAAAAACGCGCTTCGCGCTCTCATTCTCATTTCGCGAACCTCAAAATTCCACTTGATCACAACCATTGCATCACAATTGCGACAACAGACCTATGAATATGCGCCCAAATGGCTCCTAGCAAACAACATCGATACGATAGCTCGCCTTCACCACGCGCAAGAGGGACTTTTAGTTCAAAGGATAATAAAACTGGGTCTGATGGCGTGGGATGGGGAACCAGGGCGGCGAGGACGCCTGTGGATAATTGGATAAAGAGAATCTTGGACGACGAGGGTAATGATGGGGAGGATCCGAGTGTGGATATTGAGGGCGTTACACGAGACATTGGAAAATTGAGAGAAGAGGAAGCTAATGGGACGGGTAGAGGTTGGGATACGGATCTTGAGTTTACGACTAGAAGTATGGATTTTAATCACAGTCCGCGATTGAAAACGGCGGGTATACCGAGTAGGATTGAGGAGATTATGGAAAATGAGAGGAGTTTTGCTGAGGACGATGATGAGGAAGAGGAAGATCGGGAAGCAAATGTTGTCAAAGCTCAGGGAAAGCCGGCGACGAAAGATAAATTCGTCGTTAAACCTGAGAATCAGAATGGGTCGCAGACAACACGGGACGAGAATGCGATAAGGGAGACAGTTCGTGCTAAATCACAAGAACGAAGAGATCGTTTGCGAAAGGAATTGAAAGAACGTCGCGAGGAGCGGAGACCAATCACTTCATATGAGGCTGAAGATAATAAGATTTCGCAGGAAAGGCAGGAAGGAGTATTGCGAAATAGGTTACCCAGGGAACGAAGAGCACGAAGTGGTGACTTTTCAAGAAATAATCCAGTTCATGTCGAAATTCCCATACGCAGCCTGCATAATAATAAAGAGAATATCATGCCGCTGGAAGAGAAACCTCTTTCGCGGTTAGAAAGAAGGTTCCAGGGAGAAGACGGCCTCAAGGCGATACAGAGAGCTCGCGAAAACAGATTAAGGCACGAACACAACCAGAAAGTCGGAGAAGATAATGAAACACGACCAAGGATTGAAAACAGCCGGAGGGCGTCAGAAAATCTTGAGCCACGGTTTTTTGAACGAGCTGAGACCAACGGCGAAATAGGTCAAATGCACGAAAAAAACATACTGGAGGAAGAAGGAGAAATAATACATGGAACTCCTATTACAGTATTCAGCGGGAACGAGAGGCGCCCGAATGGACCAAATTCAAAACAAGAAGATTCCCTTCAGATTTTAAGGAATCTCTCCAAAGCTATTACAGGTACAAATGGGAGCGGCGGCGACAGTACCGGTAGATCTGATAATAATCCGCAAGCTCGAATATTATCAGAAAGATCCCCATCCGAACTCGAGCATGCTTCCGAAAGGTTTAATTCAACACCGACTCCACCTCCATCCGCACCCATCGACCCACTCCTGTTGCCCACCCCAAAAGTTACAGGTGGGTGGATTGAGACCCCCGCACCACCGCGAATGCGCACCAATGGTAAAACCTCCAAAGACCAACCTCAGATCAAAGAGGAACCTTCGTCACCTCGCAGCAACAGTGAGCCCTCCAAACCCTCCCAATCACAGTCACGAACTCGTCCAACTCCAATAAACAGTGCTCCTACAGTTTCTGCAGCCGCCGACCTCCAGCGTATAGAAAAGGAAGCGCGGGTAGACGACTCTACTACTATCGACCGGGATTTCTCCTTATTTTTAACAAGTCAACCCACATCCCAGGCACCTGACACTATAGAGATCAATCTCGAAACTGATGAGAATGGCAAACCACTCTCTCATGAAGAGAAAGGAAAAAGACTAGAAGAGCTTGCATTCCATCGTATGAATCGAAGTTTAAAACATACAACAAGCAGTATACGTGATGCCAGACATGGTATTGAAAGGTTGGAACAACAAGTTGCATCTTCGGGTCCACATTCGCATTCCCCCAAAGAACTCGGGATTCCGACCCCAAAGACTTCATCCCGTCCCTTCTTCCTCGACACTCCACCAGACCCCCGCTTAAACCCGAATGTACACTACCTTATGATTCCCATTCCACGCCTCCGCTATCCTGGAACCAAAAAATTTACGTGGTTTGGTTTATTTTTCACAATATTCATAACTTGGTTTGTAGCCGAATGGGCAATGTGTGAAACGTATTGCCATCCCAAGTATTCGAATAAAGATGTTTGGCACCCTTCAGATCCGTTCTGGCCATGGGCTATCCCGACAAAAATTGATCAGTGGACGGGAAAGGTGGTTAGTGCGCGAATGGAAGATGTTTGGGATTGGTGGCAGGGATATGATGAAGAGATAAGGATTTGGAAGGAGGAGATGGCCAAGAAGCAAGAGATAAAAATACCCAAGATTGTAGAGGTAGGGGATGATGAAGCGGTGGAAGAGGTGGTAGATAAGAGCTGGACTAAAGGCAGTGGAGATAAAGGGGGAAGCAGTTGGTGGAGTTGGGATAACGATGAAGTTGTATAGCATCAGTATATTACAGTATAGCGCACAGAGCGTGCTTGGATTAGTGGATGGATACTTAGTTGGGTTTTAAAAGATGGAATATCCATGATGGAGTTTGGGGTTTACCATATCGGATTCATGGATTGGACTTGCATTGTATTGTGCAGATGCATTATTGTTCGGATGGATGGGATACCTGACTTGGGATTTTTCGATTTGCATGGTGCAGCTAGATTAGCTAGGTGTTTGGCGTGTGTGGTATTAATGCTCGGGTGAGCTGGTGCATTGGATTGGATTGGATGGTTTGGGATTGGGATTGGGATTGGGAATGAATTGAGTTGGGTTGATCACTCGAGTACATATATATTCCTCGCATAAATATCTTTTTCCGATTGAGTGATTCATTTCGATTGTGTGAACTGAAATGTGAAATGCAAATACAATAACATGACTGAGAGACAATGTATTGTAGATACTTAACTCTACGAGGCACATCGATATATTTCCAACTTGCGATATTAACGTCTCTTTAGCTGACTTCATAACCTACTCGTCTTTTTTTCCAAAATCAACTAGATGTAAAATACACAGTTCAATTACCTTTAGCTAAACCTCAAGCATATCATTAGCATAGAAAACTTTACGAGAACTTGCCCCTTAGGTCATATTTGTGGAATAGAAATAAGATAATTAATTGCAGCTGGTGTCTGTGTTCGAAAGCTGAAGATATGAGTAATTATATAATATCTATTGAATAACTTGGAGAGATCATAGTATCCAAGAATTTTTCACCGAATTTTTCACTGTAGTTTTTGATGTAAGATCTTATAATTGTGTTTTCATCTCGAGAGTATTTCTAATATCGTTGAATAGGTAACGAACTTATGTTGTAATTATATTGATAATTTGTAATTTTCTTACTTTGATAATGCTGGTTTGTTAGATGTTTCTTAGTTAGGGCTTGGATAACTTCACTTGTATGTTTAGATTGCTGCAAAGTTTGAGGCTCTTGATCTTTCGATGGCAGAGTTGTCAAGGAAATTCGAGTGAAACGAGGTGGAATTAAGGTATATGTAGAGATGACTTAATGCATCCTCAATAGTAACTTCGAATACTTTGAACAAATTGTAGTGTTTCCATATGCTGGTGTAGGTTCAGTATTCCAGACACTGTTGACTCTTTCAATGAATTTATATGGATGCTAGAATGGATGAAGCCTCTAGATTGATGGGTCTCTTTCGTTAGCACTTAATGTAGAAAGTTGTCCAATCACGAGTTATTATCAAACAGTTCGAACGTAACGGTTATTCTCGAGACTAGCTTCTTTTGCAAAGGGCTGCTCTCGGAGGGGGTGTTTATGAATTGAATTTTGGAGACAATGGGTTTGTGGGAGGTGAAGGTAGCTGGGAGGGATTAGGTGGATGTAGAGATTGCTGATTTGAGGGATGGTTGAAAGTCCAAGAGTGTGTTTAAATAGAAAAGGGGGAGAGAAAGAAAGGAAGAAGAGTATAATTTGTAAAATCAGACGCACTACTTACTATAAGCTACCGGTTATCGAATTCCATCGCTGCTGGTAACTTTAAGTGACATGTGCTAAAAGTTCAAGAGGGGTATCTTAAGAATTCAGTATACCCAACAGTTTCTGACTGCGGTCCAACAATGAGAAATCTTTGTTTAATATCAAATATTATTTAAATATTTATATTTATTTGAAATATTGAATTATATCCAAACATTGAAAGGAATTTAATCATTGAAAGCCTAAATCAAATCTAGCCTGCGGCTCCGGAATATTGGACACCTCAATTAGAAGAATTGCCATATATTTGAAATACATTTCGGCACTCATCCACAGGCAAGCAGTAAGAGAGTAAAGAACACAAATGGATATAGAATAGATATATATGATGAGAATGTATAATTAGGACGAGGAAAAAAGAATCCTGGAACATGTAAGTCATGTAACGATGTCTACTTTCATTGTACATCACCAAACTCTTGGATAGATATACCACATTAAGTCAGATAACTAACCCGAAAAGTACCACCGCCCTGCATATAACACAGACATATTGACACATGGAGAATGTCCCTGTTCCACAGACGTAAGACTGAAGTTGTTATGCAGGCATTTCTACTTAGGAACTAGTAAGCCAGTTCTGGCTACATGTACGTACTGTCAGAACGATCAATCAGCGTTCACTGTTCATCTCTTTCTCGACGGTTAGTTTTCGTCTGTTGATCTCTCCAAGGTCAAAATGGGGCAAGGTAATATCTGAAGTTGGAGGAAAACCAGGCAAAGATCACTCACTCATCGAGGACTTTTAGAAAGCACATCCTCCACAATAGCTAAGATTCATACCTATATCGTACATAATGGCAACTTCCTCAATCTTTACCGGATCCACCCGCTGCAGAACATCACCAAACCCCTGGACTATCCCCACTTGAAACGCATATAAATATTTAAAACTTCAGTGCACCAGCACAATTTCACTGCAGGCCGGATGGTGTAGTTGGTTATGTAAGTCCACACACGCTGTCTTTCCCTCTCTTCAATCACTAACAATCTTGACAGCACGATCCCTTTACAATTGAATCTTCAGATCATTTCGAACGGGGTAGGTCCAGGGTTCGAGCCCCTGTCTGGTCAGTTCATCTTTTTGCTTTTTGGGGATTGAGGGGTGATGAAGGGGAATGTTGTTTGTTTTTCGCTTATGGCAGAATTTTTTGAGATGGTTCCCAGAAACCCCATAATAAAATCCACCAGTAACCTAGTGTCTGGAATGGCTGTATGACGCCAAGTTACTTAAAGTACGTCGAACTAGTCAATTCCTAATTCAGAAATTTTATATCAAATCGTGAATGATATGTCGTTATATTATTTATTAGCTGCAATTCGAGATATAAAAGTTTCGGTGAATACTCCGAATAGATATTTCATTTCGGTAGGCGAATAGGAAACCTATAATCATACTATATCTTTTCAGTAGTATTTAATATTACAACAAATTTCAATACTTTTAGTAGTGTGGAATTCAATACTACGTATATAAAATAAGATCTTATACATTTCCGAAAATAATAATAAGCATCAAGGTTCAGGCGCGCGTATAAAGAATACCGGGAATACTAACAAAAACACTGGCCTCTACCTCGGGCTACTCTTGCAACCAGGAGACATCCTGACCTGGTGAATCGTATCATCTAACCCCTCAAAAATAAGAACAAACACCCTCATCTAGCAGCTCATCAATATGACCGAGTCAGCCAGGGATCTTTTAACAATTCCCTTGCCGTCTTTCGCTTCTCCGGTTCCCACTGCAACATCGACTTAATAAAGTTAAGGAAAAGCTCTTTATCCATCCCATTGAGATTCTCCTCCGCATCCTCAAGACTACTAGGAGGTAAAAGCGGTAAGCGATCTGGTTCATCTTCGTCTGGTTCAAGCCATTTACCATTCCAATCGAACCATTCCGCAGATCTCTCACCCCGCTTGATGAGCTCCAGTGGTGGTGGTCCGAGAAGAGATATCAGTTCTGTAAGATGAGCGTGAGTTGTGTAGCGCCCGCGTTTCGGATCTTGTCCACTGAAGAGATGTTTACCCTCGAAGATATCCCAGATCTACTGCTAAATCAGTATAAGAAATTTTTAAGAACTTATTTTTGCATAGAGAAGGGCTACATATACTCACCATAGCGCCAACATTCCAGATATCAGCACTATAACTCCATGGGAGACGAAGCATTACCTCTGGACACCTGTAAACATCGGGATAAACGTCATCGTTGTTAATTTTTGTCCCATATACCGCATTTCCAAAGTCGCAAAGTATTGGCTCTCCAATAGACGCTGGCATATCTAGAGTCCGAGAAACATATATTTCTCGATCTACTGCTTTCCTGCGCGGTGAGGGTTGAGCAATCTCGGCTTCTTCAAAAGCAGCAAGAATAGAGCTATCTTCGATAAGATGAAGAATATTATCAGATTTAATGTCTAAGTCAGTTAAAGTCAGCAGAGATTCTAGCATGAAATCCAACTGTAAATTAACCTGTGTGTATCAACTTCCGATCTGTGTGAAGAGAGTCTAGAGCTAGTAAAAGACGTTGAAGGATCACTCGAAGCAGATCTTCCGTGAGTCTATCACGAGCACTCCGTTCGAGAAGTGTCCTTAAACTGTCCCAGAGTGGTTCATATACTAGACATAGATGCTTACTACCGCGATTGATCAATTCGAATGAATCAAGAGCAGAACGCACATAGCGGTAGCCAAGTCTTGATTTGTTTCCCTGGCTAATATGCTTATAAATGACAATCTCATCGGTATTCTGGCCATCATTTGTAAATATTTTGACGGCAACATGACGGTGGCCTCTATTTCCAAATTAGCTCTATCTTATGTTGAAGGTGTTGTAGCATCACTAACTGTAAATCCCGTGCAAGCCACACCGTTGACGAACTTCCAAACCCTAGCTTTCCAACGACTTGATACCGCGAGGAAAGAACATCCCCAATGCGAGTTGGGTAATATCGCCCAATTCCGAAATTTTCTTCTTCAACCTTTTCCAACGGGTTGATAAGAGGGGATTTCACATTTGGTTATAGCCGTGGTGGAGAGGGTGACCGTTTGATGGCACTTTTGACCCACTTCAGGAGTCCAGCCATGAGCTCCTGCAATATGGTTGATGATTCGGCGGATAATGCTGTGTAGATTTGATGGTTTACGCTGTAGCAAGTAGTCAAAAGCGATGAAAGTGGGAACGAATCGTAGTCTAGTTTTCACATCGATCCTCTTCCAAAGTTTTTATAATTAAGGTTACTGTTGGTACGAGAAGGATACGGAAGACGTAGCACCCACGGATTACGTAGGTCCTGTATGTCTAATTGTATTCTGTCTAAAGAGCTAGCTACATATTGAAAGTAGTAAGTCTTATATAGACTTACTAAAAGAGCTAGTCTCTTTCGCGTTCGCTTAGTTCTTTATTACAGTAGTAATTGAATTGAAGTCATTCACTTCGTTCACACAGTTACTCTTTTGATTGTAAATTTTAGACGAACGTTTTTTTGATGTCTAATCAACTGTTTTCTGCACCTTTGGCCGACGACAAAAGGGTTAATTAACCTTTGTCTCTGTTAAAAGGAATGACCTTATACAGGGAATATGTTACGAGGTTTGCCGTCTAGATCACGTGGAAGTGCTCCAGGCTCTCGAGGTGGTTTATAACTAGGCGTCAAGCAGGGACTTAAAGTAATGACAATAATGCAATTCGTAACTAATAGTAGAGTATACTAAATGATTGATCTTGAGCACGAAGCTCTATACAAAGGAAATCCATCTTGATTATATAGACCTTCGTGTTCTAGCTGATCAGTAGGATCAGTATGGCTCAGTACTGAGCTTGCTGATCCTCACTGAGTCAGTCACATGATATTGGTAGCACGTGAGCGTCTTCTTGTTACCCGGCGTAACATATAGACGGTTAATTGTATAGCTTTTTGTCAACCCATATAGGGTGTAATTACTGTGAATAATCCTGATGCTTTATTACTACGAATTCTATGGTTTTCATGCACCGGATGCCTGCCTATTTCCAGTTTGCAGGACTAATAAAAATGTATTCAATGAGATATATAGAAGGTGGACTAGCTTCTATGGCGCAATTCCGATTTCCCAACTCTCTAAAGTTTTGGCCTTTGCTTTATTCATACTTGCTTATCTCGATTAGTATATACCAAACCCGTGAATGCCAGCAGACGATAAAACGTCCCAATGATCAACAGCATACTGTGAAGTATTAGCTATAGTTCAGGCGTTATTGAAACAAGAAGCTAAACCCCAACCTGATATCGAGTTCAAGTTGGTTAACCGTATATCCAGTCCATGCAGCCGCCGAATCAATATCATAAAGATATTTCAATGGGACCGTATGGCAATGAAAATAAGCTTCCGAGAGCTATGTCTTATCTCGAAGTTAGTAAGATCTCGAGAGAATGAAGTAGATATTACCCCGGGACAAAGTCTCCATAGCCATTCGAGATGCCATGTTTTGATAGTGGATAGAGGAGAACCATAGCCTCCGAATACTCCGATGATTAAACTAACAATCACTGCCATGAGAGGACCATTTTCTCGGCGTGTAGTTACGGAAACACAAGATGCTAGGCTGTAGATACCTACATGGTCAGCCATTTACGTAGTAAAGGCTCTGAATGTACGAACAGTAGAAGTAAAGAGTGTTAAAAATTAGCAATATACTGAAAGGCATTCTCGGCGTTGCCAAAATACTGTAAAACGATGTAAAGTGTAAAGAGGAAAATGTCAAACGAAATAAAGTTGACAACGTTTTTCCAAGAAAGTACGCAGAACGACTGTGCCCCGAGCCCGCCTCACGCCAATAGACTGACTCTGAATTTAATCAGTATTGAGCACAATGTAAGGATGGGATTCCTACTTTCTTCACCAAATATTCTGACTCCTGGTGCAGCAGCAGCAAGTCCTTCACTAGTTAGATCAATTGTTCGAGGTTGGACCAGATAATGAGAGATCAATGTTCAAGACAGTTTAAAGCTATGAAATGCATGCAAGCAGGAGTACTATTAATGCTTTGACTGCAACTGGAGAGAAACATACCAATTGCCAGACAAGACAGTAAACCGAGTTGTGGAACCAACATATAGTTCGTCGCGCTCGAAAGTAATTGAAATGGTGGGAGGAATATTCCTTGAAATAGTAATCCATCAATTCTATAAACAGAGAGACCTATTAGAAGCCCGGCAACTGCACCCACTACAATTTCTAAGAGAAAGCCGGATAATTGCCTCGTTTGTTGTCTAACCGATCGAAGAAAACAATAACACATTTGACGATGCCATGATGCACCTCTAGCAGCAGCTGATTTAGAAAGAGTGTCCAAGAGTGTTAACCTTTCTTCTGCACCGTGACGGCTGAACTGTATCTTACGATTCCGATGAAGATTCCATCGATTTATCAAGCTGGGTATGGTCATTTGTGATTTTCTCCAGCCAGGCTTGACGTATCTTTCGCCTTGTCCTGATATAATATACATTAATACATCTGCCGGATTGCACTGCTTGGGTATAGAAAACCCCGCATTTTCGAAATATTCAATTGCATCCACTGCTCTGGCGAAATATAATTCTTGACCGTTAGCAAGTAGTAAAAGTCTATCCAAAGACTGGAAGATTTCTACACGAGGTTGATGTAGAATACATATAACAGTAATACCAAGTCTACATAGAGCTTTAAGTAGGCCAATAATAGACAACGCGGAAGTGGCGTCTAATCCGGATGTAGGTTCGTCAAGTACTAGGGCTAACAGAGCCGCTGCAAGCTCAATTCCAATACTTACACGCTTCCGCTGCCCACCTGATATTACTGGCTTAACTGAATCACCCACAAGACTGTTTTGAATGTGACTGAGACCGAGACAGGACAATAAATCATCAACATATCTTTCAATCTCTTTCTCGGCCCATGATCGAGGTAGGCGTATTCTTGCAGAATGAAGAATGTTCTCTCTCACCGTAAGTTCTGATAGTACAACATCATCTTGTGGAATGTAAGCGATTATCTTCTTGAATCTGGTTTAATCAGCCTGGTTTTCAGCGTACCGCATGTAATACATGTACTCAGACATACCTCTAGCATCTCCATTCACATAAGTCGTTCCTGAGGTATTTTTGAGTTTCCCCATAAACAGTCGAACAAAGGTTGCTGAAGAGATCAGTATTGAGGGGTAGAAAACTCTAAAAGAGACAAACTAACACTTCCCAGCTCCGGAAGGGCCCATCACGGCCAACATTGAGCCTGGTTCTACTTTACCAGATACACCTTGCAGTATTGTCTTTCCACTTTTCAAACGTAGCCCTAAATAATCAAAGCCAATCTCAAAACGTAAGGCACTTGTCCCAAGACATTGTTTGAGAGATCCAACGAAATTTTGTATACTTGCATGGTGGGGCTCGAAATTGACGTTGGTATCTCTTGCCTCTAGCTCATCGAGCTGCTCATATACAGTATTCCCCATTATCATTCCCAGTTTTTCAGAGCTCGCAAGTGTCAAACGCTGTCTCACGGTGCGATTGTTTTTCCGGACAGAAGAGCCAAGTGAAACAATAACAACCAGAACAATATCAATGATAATCACCAGAAAGATTCCCAGAAATGGAAATTGCCTGGAACTTCCCGGCCGACATGAAGATATCGCATCGCACTGAATAGGTTTGAAAGATCCCAAGGGACAATAGTAACCCGAAGGGCATAGAATCTGCCTCCGACTTCCGTGAGGACAATAATATCCCGACTCACATATCATTGGAACGTTGGGGCCTTGACTTTGCTGGCACGTATTCCACAGTGTCTCCAGACGGATAATCTCACATTCTGGCGTAGGGGGACAATATTGAGGTGGAACTTGATCCGTATTATTTGGACCTATAAAGTTAGAATAGTGGATATTCAAGATACATTGAATGGAAACCTACAAAAGAAACCAAGACTGCAAGAATTGATGTTACTTAAAGCTATAGGAAGAGCTCCAGTAAGACATGTATTATTTGAATCTAACCTGGAAGCCATTGCCGACTTCGGAAACGTGTGTATTATTTGCAGTTAAATCGAAAGCCATGGCTTGACTGAGATTTGGCCCACAGGTCGACATCATTGCTCGTGTAGAGTTAAAGTTCGGGAATGAACGAGGGACTGAAGATATGTATATAGAGTTCGAACTAAAGGACGGAGCAAAGGAATGAACAAGGTAATCACGCTCGCAGGATTCAAAATCTCGGGAAAAGTACGGTTAACTTCCTTCCCCCCTATCATAAAATAATACACATGGCGTTAAAAAACAGCATTGTGACAGGGCCCGTCACCAGCGCTTACATGCACTTGGCATAAATATGAGGATCTTTAATACTCCGTAGAGTCATGCTCCAGGGCTGCGGCGATCGATTCCAAATATATACCGGTATGTCGTCCTAAGATTACCCAGGAGATCAAACATATCCAGAAGTTGGTCGAGAAAATGGCAGCTCCTCCGGAAAAACATATTCATGATATCAATGGATCTTGGTTACTTGTAAGATAACGAGCGATGCTTTATTTTCTTATCACCTGGTGTCGGGAGTCCGTGCTGACTAAGTATTTCTTGGCTATTTCTAGAACAAACGTCTATCGGATCCTATTGAACATATCCTCCGACTTCAAAACGTGAATTGGTTTTTACGACGCGGCATATGTTTCGCAGAAGTAATCCTGCATGCAACGCAGACACAGGATGAGGATGGTCTGGCTACACTCACCATGGAGAGAGTTGCCAGCGTGGGACTCGCAGGCTCGACGGAAATTAGACCATTGAATTGGGATACGAAAGAATTTAAAGATCATATATGGGGGAATACACGGACACGAAGCAGATATATTCCTACCGCGGACGTAGAAGAAGGAGAGGATTTCCTCACGTCGGGATGGCTAGAGGAGACGGCTTTAGGTCTTTGCATTCAGGATAAAACGGAATCGGCAACGGGTTCATGGTCAAGTGTTACAGTATGCCACTCCAGTTTCCTGATTAGCACTGCGCATCATGACTGACTGGATATATCATAGGTATGGGGTTTTGAAATGATCAAGGAAGAGCGGAGATTAGCACGACACATTCTTGTTCGAAAGGGATATGAGATTGCAATGGCAAAGTTGATCTATGACTATATCGGACCTGTAAAACGCCAGGTGCAATGTTTTCGATATTAATATGGCACTGGCAACTTTACGATTATCAATAAATCCAGATAGACTTATTCTTTGGAGAAAACTAACTTGGGAATAGAGACTCTCGGATAGCTTTCCGGTGATCACGGCGCATAGGGCAAAAAGGATACAAGGAACAAGGCGCTACGGAAACTATATTAGGATCTCCGATTGGAGATGATCTCGAGGATATCAATCTATGTAAAATAGCACAAGAATATTTTAATAATTCATATATTTACGACCGTATTGATAAAAGATCTCAGATGATCTCACGACCAACAAAGTAGAAAGACATCAGACGATCTAAATAATTTAATAAACTTTCCCTAATATCCCCCTTTCCCCATCCAAATGCCCCCTCACCCCTTATGATCCACCGCGTTTCGTTCTCGTGGAAATGCCCCTATAGCTATACCGCGGTATATCAAACCAGAATCCACACCGCAAGGCAGTACTAGAGGTAAGGAATTCCAAACACGATAAATCTTTCTATACAAACCAATACCTGTAGCATCCCAAAAGATCCAGCCAACCTAACATCTTCCAGAATGCGAAACTTACAACGGATTGTTACTCGAGTCCCAGATTGCGTCTACCACATGATGTTTCAATATTAAGGTTACTGTTACTGTAGAGAAAGATAAACTCTAGATAGATAGAAAGAAGTTTTACTGATAACTGATTCATGAACAGAAGCGATTTCCAACCTAGTTCTAATTACTTACTCGTACACACAAGGACACAAAGACATCATCGGCCCAGAACTTGAAAATCAAAATATCATATCATATCATACAGAAATATTACTTTTGAATTAAACACTTTATAATTCATCAATAATGATATTTTGTACAATCTAATCTAATACTGTAATATAATGAGAATTATTAAAAGATTGGGTGGAAGAGGCCTCTATATTGACTATATTACTACGTGTGTAGGCATATTAAGATCTCCTCTTGGTATCCTCGGAGGGGACCAATATGCCTGCTTATGGTTCATCTAATCTAGCCTGTTTAGGTAACCGTATTACTAATCACGACACGTGATTAGTACCGGTAACTTCTATTCCTTTTAACAAGAATTGTATTGCATTCATTATATTGTACTATAAGAGAGCCGAGTAATTAGTAATCACACAGAGTAAGTAAATCTTTAAAGATGAAAAAATACCCCTAGATTTCTATCTAGGAGATTTAGAGAAGATATAAGGATTTGGACTATTATAATTTTTTTATTAATATTCAATGATAAGTCTTTATAAGACTTACATATACCATACATAGATACATGAACAAGGTAAGGAGAGAAAGAAGATAAAAACTACAAGCACCATTTGAGATATTCAGATAAATTACTTAGATTATTAGATTGATAAAATACAAGTCGATATGATATACATCTTCCATCTCGCCCATCTCGCCCATCCCACTCATTCCATCCATACATACATAGTCCAAAAACCATACACAAAGCCCCCATATCTAATATCATGCGCCCTCGAAGGCGATTTTTGAATCTTCTAACTTAGTATCTAAACCCAAACGCCTTGATCCTATCCTATTCCCTTAGTAGTAAATACCATCCATTAATAAAACCACAGAAAAACCAGCACTCCCCTCCCTAGGAACTAAAATCACCACTCTCAGCATCCCTAAACTTCTCATCCACCTGCGCCACCTTCGAACCCTTCCTAGTAACATGCGAACTCTGCGCCTGCAAAATCTCCATAATAGCCTTCCCACTATCCATCTCCCGCACATCTCTCACCACACCCGTTCCCCTCTTCTTCTGATGTCTAAAATAAACCCTCTTAATCCACTTCCAGGATTCTATACCCACGAAAAATAACATAGATTCTATGAATACAATGCCCCATTCCCACGTAATACCCTCATGCTTAAAAACTTTTCGATTAATGACAGGAATATAAAGCGTTGGGAAAACCGTTACGAAACCAGAAATCACAGCCCAGAATAAAAGTTTATTGGCCCAAATATCGTGGATCCATTGCGTGAAATATTTCTTACTGCCGGGCTTCATGCGGAAGAAAGACCGGCGAAGATTAATCATTTCCCAAGCGAGGAAGAGCGAAAACCAGGTTAGACAGACGAATGTAGTGGCGCGAGCTCGGAAGACATTATCGCATTGTGCAGAATAGCCATCGTTGCATTCGGAGCCGAGATCACCGGTGCCCCAGCCGAAGAGAACGAGAGAGAAGGCGGAAAGACAGAGGGCGGCCATCCAGAGACCGTAGACTAACATATCGATCATTACTTCGTTGGTGAATACACCTCTTTTGAGAGATTGAGGTGGTCGATCCATGATATCTGGGGCTGCTGCTTCGAAACCAAGACCCATATCTGGCATACCTAAATTTATTTGCGTTAGTAAATCATCTAGTTATTTAGTTTGACAGAACCTACCAGATGTGATCATAATGACCCATAGAATCTCCACAGGTGTTAAAGGAAACACGGAAGTTCCGGTGGAATCTTTAAAGGCGAGTCCGATGAGAAGCGTGCAAGCTTGAGCAATATTTTGGGCCAACAAATGTAATATAAACTTTTGGATATTGTCAAACATTCGTCTTCCTTCTTCAACAGCATTAAGAATCGAAGCAAAATTGTCATCCTTGAGAATGATATCTGATGCATCCTTAGCTACATCAGATCCCATCTGACCCATTGCGATACCAACATCTGCTTGTTTTAAAGAAGGAGAATCGTTAACACCATCACCTGTCATAGCAGCAAAGAGCTTTCGTCTGTGTAGAGCTTCAATCATGCGAACTTTGGTCTGTGGTGAGCATCGTGCGATAACTAGAGGTAGGATTGGAAGGGCGTCAATTTGTTTCTCGCTAAGCTTGTCGAATTCGCTTGCTGCCATAACCATCACATTCATACTATCTCTTCCTATTGTAGAAGTATCTTTTGGTAAAATGCCAACCTGGGCTGCGATAGCACGTGCAGTTTCTGGATGATCGCCAGTAAGCATGTGCACCGCGATACCTGCTTGATGACATTGTTGGACCGACGCCTCGGATTCTATACGAGGAGGATCGTAAAGACCAATGAGTCCATGGAAGATTAAATCATCCTCCACTTCCATCCTCAAATTTTCCTCTGCTTCTCTTCTTTCTTCTTCAGTCTTGAATTGTTGCGCATCTATCTTCGCAGGGCCCTCCCATTCTTTACCAGCCAGAGCTAATACACGTAGACCCTGTGAGGCAAGAGCTTCCATGTTGCTGAGAATCTCCTCACGCATCTCTTCTGTCATTACTACAATGTCATCGTTTCGCATTCTTACACGTGGACAGGATGAAATCACCCTTTCGACTGCACCCTTTGTGAAAACCATCGAGTTCCCAGATTCTCCGTGTTCGAAAATGACAGACATCTTCTTGACTTTAGAGTCGAAGGGGAATTCAGCAAGTTGTTTCCATTGAGGCGAGTCTCCGGCCGTCCACCGTTCCCTATCCCATCCAAATCTGTGGGCAAAGACCTGAATTGCGATTTCAGTTGGATCACCTCTTGCTTTCCATCCATCTTCGCTTTTGTGAATATGAGCAAGATTTGCCATTGAAGCAATGTTAAGCAACGCTCGAAGATCATTATTATCTTGTAAAAGGTTTGAAAATGAATCTGTTTTTTCTTCGCTCTCCTCTTTATCCATTTGATATGGAGATTTCTCGCAGTGGGACAAATCTCCTTCCTCGGGATTGATCGGGTTGCTAGACGGTCCAACAGAGTAGGTTCCTCTAGACGGCATCCAAACCTTCTTTGCAACCATTTTTCCTTGGGTGAGAGTTCCAGTTTTATCCGAGCAAATATCTGCAAAAGTTAGAAATTGAACATTACTATCAAAAAGAGAGGTATCTTACCAGTAACTGCGCCTAGTGCTTCAAGAGCGTTCATTCTGCGTACAACCACATTTTTCTCTGACATTACCTTAGTTCCTGCGGCCATGGTGATGGTCAAGACCACTATCAGTGAAGCAGGAATCATTGAAAGACCCGTAGCAACAGCGTAAATAATAACTTCTTGGTTATTAGAAAATTTGTTCGCGGCTAAGACAATGATTGCGCAGATAACAGCAACGATGAATAGTCCACAAGCAAGTCGGGATAACTTCTGTTGCAATGGAGTACCAACATTGGTGCCGAGAAAACTTCCGACAAAATCAGTCGTGGTAAGTGCCCAAGCCTGAGCATATCGATGCGGCTTTGCTTTACCAGCTTCATTACGCTTGACCTCTCGAATTTTACGTGATTTCTGTCCGAGAGACTTGGCAATCGATCCAACTTCTGTTTTCATACCCACTGCATAAACGATGCCGCGTGCTCGGCCTCTAGTAACAGGAGTGGAGCTGAAAGCAACATTACGACGATCACCAGTTGGGGTTTCGGTATCAAAAACCCCATTTGCATCCTTCGGGATTGGCAGTGCTTCACCGGTTATCATAGATTCGTCAGCCTCAAAGTTCATACTTTCAACTAATCTGAATATAATCTGTCAGTATATACATACAAAGAATGAAGGGGCAAAACCGCGAACGTACCGGATATCTCCCGGAATAGTATCACCCATCTTGACCTCGATCATATCACCAACAGCAATTTCAACAGTAGGCACCACTTGGATCTTTCCATCTCTAACCGCATTTGCCGTAGGGGAACTCAGGGAGCGCAATGAATCCATTGTCTTTTCCGCCCTGAGCTCATTGTAAAAGCCAATCACAATATTGAGAAATATGACTGCCGAGATGACACCACCTTCGATATATGAGCCAATACCGAAACTGACAGCCATGGCCATTATCAAAACCTAAAAAACAGACATGATGAGAAACAATCTTTAAGATGAGTTGGAATAAGTAAACGAACCAGAATCATCGCATTGGCGACTTGATGAATGAGAATCTTGACTGGTTGAACACCAGGTCCGTTATCAAGTTCATTTTTTCCGTACTCTTCGAGACGCGCTTTAGCTTCAGCTGTGGTAAGTCCATCCTCAAGGTTAACCGTCAATTCCTGTGCCAGTTTCTCATACGTTAAGCAATGAGCTAGGTTGCTCAGGGGTCTGTTCGATTGTCCCGAGACATGCTCGACAATGTCGGTTTTAGCCATGACGTATTGTGTGTTGGAGTAATGATAGAATGTGTCGAAATGAATAGACAATCATACAGGGCAAGATTGAACTGAAGAACTGTATAAACACTGTATCAAAAATATGGCGTATAATTTCTTACTTAAGAAACTTCTAAAGGCGGGGGACTTGCGTCCTTTATATATAGCATAGATATAGCACAATTGGTAAGGTTATCAAACAAACCATACGATACCTATCTATGGAAGAAAAACGACCAAGAGACCAGGTCTTGGTAGTACAAGGTTTATTCTAAATAGCTTCTGCGAGGTACCCCGCATATTGCGAATGGGAATCCGTCATGGCGAAGTATTGAACTTAGTACACCATTATCAAATGGGACCAAACTAAGCCAAGAATAGCCTCACCACTAGAGCACCGAGAGAATGTTCTACGTTCTTGGAGCCAAGTAGAAGCCAAATGGCCAAGAGAGTCAATTAAAGAAAAAATAGCGACGATTTCTTGCCATTCACTTGATAGGCCATAGAAAAACACAACGAAAACGATTACGAATTCTCTGCTTTCGACCATTGTCATCACAGTCAAAGACAGTCAATGTAAGACTGCAAACAATTGACGAATTGTAAGTCCCACATCGAGGTTCAAATGAAGTTCAACGGTCTTTTCGCACGAGAGGATCTCGGCTATTTATGACTAAGCTCGATAAGATAAAGTCTCTAAAAGTTGCCCAGAACAATACAAAGTAGCACTTAAATCTTGGTGTGACTTGGCCTGTAAGTTTAGTGGTTAAAGCCTGAAAGAAATTCCAATCGATGACATACCAGTATTCTGCACCAATTGGGTGCTTCAAAACTGACACGCGGGGTGTGCATAGCCCCCATATAACCATTGGATCAAGTATTGATAAGACTATTTTACTTAGAATGCTAACTACCAAAGTCATGCTTTTCAATAACAAGCAAACTAGATGCTCCTCTAACCTCAAAATTATAACGTGATCGGTCGCGTGATATACCAAGAGTTTGTTATGGTTATTAACCTTAGTCTTTACACCGGGTTCATTAGTGAGAGCTCTTTATTTCCGCCGGTATCCAACCACTCTTTTTAAGTACCAAGTAGTAGACTTAAACTAGC